TACATAAACACAACAGACGAATGAATAACCGGCTTTGGAATCAGAGAGCCAATAAAAAGTGTTTGTTCAAATATTACATTTATTTATAAGTGGGCTTGTTAACAAAAATGCTTGCAATATCTTAACACTTTGAAAAGTAAAGACAATTGGCAAGACGTTTTTCATGACAAGCATGAAGTCGATGCACGTAATTCGCTTTCATGGGACACAGAAAATGATGTGTTGAACCAGATCTGGCCCCCCAGCCTTGAGTTTGGCATTTGTGTTTCAGAGCCTCATAATTTCAAACAAAATTCACAGCTGTTTTTTATGAGAAAATGGAATAATGAGTAAGAGGTATTCTGGATACATTTTAACGAGTCAAATTTTTGTCATCGGCTACACAGATGGTGATTCTTGGATTAGATGATGCGCAAATTTTGCAACCTCTTTCTGATATCAAACTGTGCAAACCTGGGGTCTCCAAAGCAAGATCTTCCTGTTTTCCCCAGGGTTGAGACAATGGATTGTGGTGATGAGGCTGCATCATGGCTTTCAGACTTGCTTGAACAGCCATGCCGCTTGATAAGACAAAGTCCAGATTTTACTCGATACATGAACAAGAAGTCTGATACAGGTAAATGTGTCCAAATTTTGCTCTGCTTCATATTGCAACATCTCAAATGCTCTCTTCCTTCTAGGACAGATCAAAGAGACACACTATGTCTGCAAAAATACCAAAACTAGTCCAGCCCGCTCATTACTGACCACTCTAGTGCAAGATTTCAGCACGGATTACTCTGTACATTCTTGCTTTTATCTTTCCCTAAAACCGGACTAGTTTCCCAGGTCCTACTGATGAAAATCATCCCACCTTCATGATGCTGCCACCACTATGCTTCACTTTAGAGATGGTATTGGTCCAGTGATGAGCGGTGCTTGGTTTCCTCTGCACATGATGCCTGACATTTACGCCAAAAAGAGAATTTTCTTTCTTAATGCTTTTTAGCAAATTTCAAAGTAAATGGCTGTGAATACTTTCCAGATGCACTGCTGCATCTTCTTTGATTTGCAGCTAAAAAGATTTGAAGCATCATTATCCTCTAGTAATTAAACTATATTTGTTCAATAACAGAAAATGTGATCAATATTACTCCCTATTTAATCGAAAGTGCACAGGCTAAATCTAAAATAACAGCAAATATCCTGAATGTGCAGTTTGTGTGCAGTAACTCCTCCACCCTGATGAGTAGAACTTCAATTTTCGTATTCATTGGGGATTTCCAGCAGAGATGAGTGCCTGAAATAGATGGGTAATACAAAGTATTTTCCTTCTAGCCGTCACCACTTCGACACTCTCCCTGGTGAATGAGGCTCAGTATCTCATGATCAACCGTGCAAGTGTGGAGCTCATTCAAAAAGTAATGAGCAGCAGGTTTGAACACATGCTATCTTATTCAAAATAGTCAATGTGCACTTCGTGCAGTGAAAGACATCAGGATGTGACAACATTTACATAGCACTGTATAATGTAGAGAGTGTTAGAAAATAACATGCAATTGCCACTATTCCTTTCAAAGGCAAGACTATCCCGAGCTTGATACAGAGAACATCATCAGTCGGTTCCGATCCAATTTCGTCATCTCGGGGGTTGAACCATTTGAAGAAGATAATTGGTCACACTTGGTAATTGGCAACATTCGATTCATGGTGAGCTTCCACTTTGGGAAATCAGATGACGTCTTCCAATGTATCAAAAGTAGATTCTGAACAAGCTAAATCTGCTTGCTGTGTGATGAATCACAAAGGTCAGAGGCCAATGTGTACGGTGCCAAATGGTTGGGGTTGATCAGAACACTGGGACCAAAACAAAGGAGCCTCTGATGTCTCTTTCTGCGTACCACAATGGAAAGGTGAGTCAAGGCCAAGCGACTTCAATACATCCAATCCTTTCTTCTTGTTTGTTTACAATGTTTTTTTTTTAATTGTGGAGAACTATACACAAATTTACAGTAGCTACGCCTCCCCCCTCTTTTTAAATTAAAACAAAAAGCTGACCGACCACCCCTCACCCCATTCCTCTCGCCACACAATTCTTAGTATAATATTTGGCTCCACATCATTTTGCTTGTTATTTCTGGCATTTCCAGGTTACATTTGGTGTCTACTTGAGCCATCAGTTGCCAAAAGGGTCACCGACAGCTGGTGTCCTCAGTGCTGGCTCCCACATACTGCCAGAGCCCCATATTTCTGAAACTGGTCACCCATCTCCATCACCATCTCTTCCTTCAGCAAACACTGGTGACTTACCCTCAACATCAGGGGGATTTGTCTCATGATTGCAGATAGTTACGTGTTGAGTGTGCACGTGGGTCTTATTTGATATACTGTTGTTCGCAGCGCCACGGTGATCAACTGGTTAGCATGTCAGCCTCACTGTGCACCAGTCATGGGTTCGATTCAGGGCTGCGGCCTACCTGTGTGGAGTTTGCATGTTCTCCTTGTGCCTGCTTGGGTTTTCTCAGTGTCCAAAAACATGCACGGTAGGTTAATGGAACACTCTAAATTGCCCCTAGGTGTGATTGTAAATGTGGATAGTTGTTTGCCTGTCAGTTCCTGGAGTCATAAAAGAACAGGGGCAAAGAATTGGACAGGGTTTTTTTTTCAATATCAGAGCATTGAGTCGATATAACATGACTAATACATGCAGCGTTTGATACAGTAAATCCTACTACTGCGAACCCTCGCTATAATGCGGTTCACCTTTCATGGCCTCCCTGTTTCACAGATTTTTTTTGTGCTTTTTAATATATATTTTTTTTAACAGTGCATCGTGTTCTGCATCCGGATTGGCTAAAGGGACTGTAGAACAATGTCAACAATCTCCCCACCACGTCTCTTCACAGCGTGCCAAATTTACGTTTGCAATAAAAACAGGTTTTGATCTTTGGCTTCATTCTATTGTACAGTATTGTATCATCCATGCATCCATTTTCCGATCCGCTTTATCCTCACAAGGGTTGCGGGGGGTGCTGGAGCCTATCCCAGCTGTCTTCAGGCTGTCGGCGGGGGACACCCTGAACCGGTTGCCAGCCAATCGCAAGGCACACAAAGACGAACAACCATCCGCGCTCACATTCACACTCACACCGAGGGACAATTTAGAGTGTTCCATTAGCCTGCCATGCATGTTTTTGGAATGTGGGAGGAAACCGGAATACCCGGAGAAAACCCACGCAGGAGAAAATGCAAACTCCACACAGGGAGGCTAGAGCTGGTGTATTGTATCATATACAGTAATGTAAAAAATAAAGCTGACTACATCATGGATTTCACCTATCACAGGTTCTTTTTGGCACGTAACCCTTGCGATAAACATGGGTTTACTGTATACTGTTGGACAGGTTGGAAACTTGGGTAGGATTAAATGGAACAGTCCTAAAATGGTTCAGCTCCTACTTGGAGAAAATGAGTTCTTTTGTGATCATTCTGACTTGTAAATATGATTGAACGGTCAGTCCTTGACCCCTTTTGTTCAGCCTGTAATACAGGCCCTATATATGCTAGCCTATGGTCTTCACAATGGCTATCATGGCCTTGCATATGATACACAACTATATCTATCATGTCACCAAGTGACAACAGTTCAATTAAAGTGCTGTCACTGTCTTAAATTAATAACTGGATGAATCAAAATGTACTTCATCTAAACCTAAACTAAAGTGCGTAATTGTTTTTGGCAATAAAGAAAAGAGGATTGCTGTTCGTAAAAATGTAGGGCCCTAGTTTCTGTCATCAAATTAAGTGCTAATTAGCTGAAGTATTCATAACAAATTTCCAACTTTAGTGGAAAACTTCTGGTAGACACAAATTTCACAAGTCAGGCTTGATGCAATCACTGGTTCTCATTTTAACCTGCTCAACAATTCTTCCTCTGGTTATTCCAGTGGGGCTTTATATCGTTTTTTATTCCAAACACACCACTAAGCCTGCTGCCAGAAACCCAAGACAGACTTTTTAAGATGAGATAAGATAAGAAAACCTTTATTTGACTCACAATGGAGAAATTCCCAATTTACAGCAGCAAAATTGAAGATAAAAACAATAAATACAGAAGCAACAAAAAAAAAGTTGCCCAGTGAAGAACAAAACTACCAGACAGGCAAACGCATTACTCTACCATCATCTTATGTTTGTTGAATAACCCCCGAATAATAGAACAACAAAGCTGTATTTCCTGAAAGGTCAGATTGCTGAGTAAGATGACCATCTTCTAATATATTCTATGTTGAAGACCACTGTCTTAATCACTATAAAAGTGCTGCGTTTGACTGAATGTTTGAGACAGGATTTGCAGAATTTAGGGTGGGGTCCCAAAATGGGGTTTTTGAGTCAACGACTGCTGGAGTAAAACACCATGAGCTATTTAGGTGGTCATTTTAGCAGGCACACCATTGTTTGGCAAATTACATTTTATTTTCATGTTATTGTAATACCATGATGTCTGTTGTGTTATTTATGTATTGTACAGTAGTGCTTTTGAAACGTCTGTTGGATTGTAAATTAATTTAACCGCCATCAAATGAACCACTTCCTGTTTGCTGCATTATCAAACCATATTCTTGTGTTGTTGTAAATATGATCCATATCTAGCATTTTAAATTCTTTGTGTAGGAAGGCACAGTTTAAATAAAATGATTTATTACTGCGGTTTTATTCGATTTCATTGAATTGTTAAGGTACACTACACGATAATTAGCTGCGGCACAAAATGCCCATGTACAATTAAAATATAATTTACTTTAATTATAACGAGAAAGGTTGAACTGTCAAATAGCATCAGGACAAAAGATGCATCGTTTTAATTAGTAATATACTACCCAGTATTCAAAAAGCTGCAAAAGTGATATGCTTTGTAGTTTACAGCGAGTCTTAAAAATAGAAAAAAAAATCTGATTGGAGCTCTGTGTCCGATCAGGCTGTATTCATGACTGGTGCCACCTTAAATAAAAAGTTAAGCTTAACTCCTCCCAGACCGCCCTGAAACCGAACTTTGAACAAACAATAGAGCTACACGAACAACTGAAAGAGCCTCGAGGTAGCAAAACGCATTACAATTGCTGTTCAAAATGAGACAAAGAACTCATAAAAAGGAAGTGTCAACCTCCGCGCAGACAACAGCCCAAGTTCAGCGGAAGCACGAAAATGAGTAAGTTAGCATGCTAGTTTAATGTTTTTGGAGTCTGTCTGGACATCACATACTACTTCACTGTAGGATTTATTAAAAACATTCATTGCGCAACGTCATATCTAATAAAGCACCTACATTGCCAGTAATTGTACGATAGAATTCGAAATAACACTTTTACTATGATGATAGTTCTGGACTTACGAGCCATCCAGCCAACCGGCTGAATAGATAGATTGAGAGCATTCATACAGAAATTGTTGCTAAATCTGGACAAATTATTCGACTTTTGGGAGGCTGGTGGAATAATGACATGCAATGTGTTTCCCTTGAGGGGTGTGAAGAAATCAGTCTTTCTCCTCAACAGGCTCTTATGTCATACATATTACAGTGTTAACGGAGGGGGAGGAATGTGTTGCCCATTAACGGAAAACAGTCTGAAGAGCACCCTCTTTTGTGCTGTTGCCTCTAGCAAGGTCAAGGCGATTACAGTAAGAGTCTTGACATCCCATCACATCATTCAACTCATTAACTTTATTATGGATTATTATTACTGCAAACACAATAGATATGTTTTCAACACATTATAAATCTGCAGTATGGAGGATAGGATAGGATAGGATAGGATACATATTGTGGATATTTTTCCCCTCTGAATACAATCACACGCATACACGTCCGGAGCCTGTCAGTTGAAAGGCTGACACCTATAATTGACCTAATATACAAGTTTTTGGACTGTGGGAGGTTGGTGGAGTATGTGGAGAGAACCCTCATAGGCACATGTAAATGAATACCAAAATGAAAGTCATAAAAACATTTGCATTTAACCGTGAAGACAAAAGCACCACCCGGAGAAATGTAGTTACTCAAGTATTCTCTCTGCTGTCTTTGGCTAGGTCCCGGTGGATGAAAAGTTGTTTATTTGCACTGTTTGTCATCCTTCTTTTGGCTCCCTTCACCCTGATCATGTCACGAGAATTATTCCAACACCTTGTTTACAAGCACAGAAGTAAGTGAATTCCCAATACGAATATAAATCCTTTATTTGCTTATAAAAATATCCGTGTCTTCTGTTTGCAGTCAAGGTTCCATTCTTTGTTGACCTCAACCAACCTGTTGATTTCTCCCTAAATCACACCATCAACATGTACTTAACATCAGAGGAAGGGATTTCTCTTGGTGTATGGTGAGTTGAGTATCTAATTTTAAACAGATATTCACTTTTAATGACTGACTTATCAGCTTTGCATTTTTTAACTTGTTCCAGGCATACAGTGCCTGAGAGTCACTGGAGGGAGGCGCAAGGTAAAGACTTGGCATGGTACCAAAGCACATTAAGTGATGGAAATCCAGTATTTATATATCTACATGGGAACACAGGCACAAGGTATGCTATTCAATCTATGTATGTACTGGTTAGAAAATATGGGAACATACTCCGTCAACTAGCTCTTTCCCTCTAAATTATTAGCAATTTTATTTCTTACAAATCGTTTCAACAGGGCAGCGACTCATCGGGTGGGAGTTGCAAAAGTGAGTGATTATACACACAAACCTATTCACTATTTCACAATGATATTAAGTCAGTCAAGCTCGTCCAATGTCAAGTAAGACTTAATTTGTTAACAGGTATTGAGTGCACTTGGTTACCATGTGTTGGTGCCTGACTACAGAGGTCGGTGAAAATGAATCATTTATTTTCATTTCTTTTTCAGTCCGAATGATTGATGGCTACAGAGAAATGAAAGCTTTGGCAGTAATAAATAGCACGTAGTTGAATATTTTTGTCAGCCTGCCATTCGCTGCAACTTTTGCTTTGCGTGATGGCCATCTAGTGGTGACACGGAAAAATTCCACCTAACCGTCTTCAGTGAACTACTGACAGGTTTTGGAGACTCAAGTGGTGAGCCAACTGAAGTTGGACTCACAACAGATGCCCTCCATGTGTACAACTGGGCCAAAGAACGCAGCGGAAGCAGCCTGGTCGTCTTCTGGGGACATTCTCTTGGCACTGGGTCAGTTGGATTTGCAACTATTTATAGTCAGCATTACAAACGCAAAGTACACACATACCATTTTTGACTCACTGCTCTTATATGGTACACTCAAGGTGACCAACACAGCACACCACACACACAGTACAGTAATTACAGTATTTCTTCAATATCAAAACTGACCTGTGGGGGGCAGCATTGTGCTACAGTGCATTCAGAGGCTGCGAAGTCCAAAGAAGGAAAAGTCGTAGCCAACCCTCACTTCACTTATTTGCTTTTTTTTTTTTTTTTCTTTTGGGGGGGGGGGGAATCAAGTTCTGTTTCAATGTTAGGCAAACCTGGTTAGTCAATGGAAGCTCAGTAACATGTTTTTAGTATCAAATATTCAAGTGTCAAGTGTACATTCATATTTTTAGCTTTTCGAAAAGAATGCCCTCTTTTGAAAATGTGACTTTCCCCATGTGTAAAGAAAAAAATCATAACATTTAAATTGAAGTTTACTGGGTTGACATTAATACCGGTTCAAAATAGCTCTGTGAGAAAATGAAAAAGTTTGTACAATAAATATTCATAGAGAAGTTTAGACAATTTTATTTAAAAATAACGAAAACCACAGTTGTCCAAACTTGTTTTTCTTCCAAGGGCCACACACAGAAAATTCAAAAGAGGCAAGGGCCAAACTTTCATTTATTTACAACACTAAACCAAGGTCAGATGTTTCATGTTATTGATGTTAGTGTTGCTGCTGTTGCAATGCAAATACAATGTGTAGCAAGATGTGTCTATAGTTTGGTTTAGACTTTAGAGGCACCAACCACACTGTTTCAATTGTTTAACTTGCTTGTTATTTTTGTTTTATTTTCTTCTTTGTACACCTCAATAATTTTAAGTGGTCGAGCTAAATCGTGTTAATTTTTTGGTATCAGAAATTAAGCAAAATATTTTGGGTAAAGTCTATGAGAAGTAATAGAAAGTACAATTAAAAAGTGTAAAAATTTTGTCATGCATGTCTTTGCAGAGTGTCCACGAACACTGCAGTCAAACTTGTAGAACAAGGTGGGTTCAGCCACACAAGCAAATACTAATTATGAAATCCAATTCAGTTTTACTGTGATTGCATCAGCAGGTATTGTTTTGGACGGCGTGATTCTCGAAGGCACCTTTAACATGCGTAATGAGAAACTACCATTTCATGTGTTTTCATGGGTAAGCTACGCTAACATGTGCCACTTATGTCACTTGATAGATTTATTTTAGGTTAAACATAATGTTGGTTTTGCTTTTCTTTACATTTTTGTATCAGTATTACTGGAAGTTTCCTGGCTGGGGATATTTCTTTCCAGAGCCATGGGCTGAAAATAAAGTTGTCTTTCCCACTGAGGAAAAGTAAGTTTTAATTATTGGCAGTGCCTAATGTGTTCAAACATTAATTTACATTGTAATTTGGTCAAACTAATATTCACCTGCCGAACATGATTTTGTATTATTCTGCAGTGTAAAAAAAATGAAAAGCCCACTACTTTTCCTGCATGCAGAAGACGATTCAGTTGTTCTCATCCATTCTGCTCAGCAAGTATTACGATGATTATTTTGCTACAGTATTTACCAAATGTGACAGTATTCTTAGTTAATTGTATATATATGTTTGGCCTTTCCCACCAGCTGTACAACATAGCAGTGAGTGCTCAGAATGCAGAGCGAGTCAAGTTTGTGACCTTTGAAGGGTCTTTAGGGTATCTACACAATGGATTATACAAAGACCCCCGTCTGCCAGACATCATTAAGTGAGAGACCATTGATAATTTGACACACACACATATATATATATATATATATATATGTATATATATATATGTATATGTGGAGTAAAGTAAATATTTGGCTACATATATGTTAAGGGATAGCGGCTTAACAGTGTATCATTTTTCTCCACAGAAAGTTTGTGTTGACTTTGTGATGTGGGAAGACGCCTTCAGTGGATATTCAGTGATGGTTGAAAGTATGATTTGCTTTATCTCAAGTGTAGCATGCCATTTATTATTTTGATTGTCTTATACATGTGATCAATGCAAACACATTTGGGTAATTGCTCTAGGACATGTAATTAAGGTAAGACAAAGCTCCAGAAGGTTCCCTGGTAATTCCTGAAAAACAGTGTGGTGTTTATTTTTGTTTAAATTATAGAGATGTTATGAAAACTGATGAAACATTAAATATTGATTGATAGTGATTCAGCATTAGCTTGCTGGCTGAAGAACAGAAAAATAACATCACCTAGTGGAAGTTCAGCTAGAAACACAGCCTCCACTTTGACTCAATTCTCTCTGTCTCGCTCTCTGTCTCTCTGTCTGTCTCTCTCTCTCTCTCTCTCTCTCTCTCTCTCTCTCTCTCTCTCTCTCACTCTCTCTCTCTCTCACTCTCTCTCTCTGTCTCTGTCTCTCTCACTCTCACAACTCACTGCCTAATATCCCTAACTCTTTTGAGTTAGGGATATTTGGCTTTTGTCTGAAATTTCAGGACGAGCCCATAATGCATTCAAACCTTTACATGTGAACGTAATGTGACCTCCTCTCAGCTTTTCAATGCACATGTCAAACTGTTAAATGTTTCAGTTCTTTTTGCACAAGTTGCTGATCTCTGACGAGGATCTTAACGGCAAAATTCAGAACAGGCGTTTGATCTTTGAAGCGACCAATAAATGTCCTGGTTCGATGTAGAGTTGGTGTTTAAATGTCAGTTTATAAACCAAGCGAACCCGGAAACCTACAGTTTCGCAATATGTTGGACGTTGTAATATAAATATTCACTACCCGGAACCTTGTTTTTCCGTGTCAACATTAAAATAACAGTCCAGTATTCAACCTTTCCCCGTATGCTGTTTGAAAGTCAATGCATGTCTTCGTTGTCATATTTGCATACGCATTCAGAAAGCGAAAAATCTCAACCCTGGGAATGTACATATTCAAGTCAAGTCCAGCTTTATTGTCAAATATGTGCAACATACAGCACAGATGAAATTACTTTCCTCTCTCAACCACAGTGCAAACATGCAGTGCATTGAAACACACAGCTAAAATATTGCATTCACTTTGGCGTGCGCTTTTTTTTTTTTTTTTTTACTTAAAAGCTAAATGTTCAGTATACCACATATAGAGGGAGGCGGGTTCGGATGGTGTTTGCTTTGTGACATCTTTCACGTCATTCAATATCCTTGTAAACGTAAAGGTCCGGTCTTTGGTAAGGAAAAAAAAGCTCCGGTCTTTGGCAGTCAGATGACGTGGCTGAAGGTTGCGGATGATGCGCAGCCACAGTTTCCTTATCCATCGTTTTATTCACCGCTACCCAGCGTGATTGGATGAGCCAAGTCACGTGGTGCCCTTCGTCCAATCGAAAGTGTATCCGATGAGTAATCGCGAAACACCTACGCCATATGCGTAGAGGAGCGTCCAAAAATCGCCTCAGTCAGAACCAGGAAGAAGGTGGGATAGCCCTGCAAAGCTAACACCCCCGATCTTTCTGCACACTTTCACCGAAAAAGAATGGGATCATCCAGGTGGAGGGTGGCAGCTGCGGTGTTCCTCAGTCTACTCGGCTCCTTATTACCTGTCGAAGCAGATGAACATATACACACAGTAAGGCTGCGTTTGTAAGGCCGAATGAAAAAGGACTTCCTTTGAAATAATAGACGTTTGTACTGTGTGCAGCATGCTAACCTTATGCTTAGCTTGAAAGTGGAGCTGTACTCGTTTCGCAGAGAGGAGAGCCACTCGTGCTATTTCTCGTTACATATTGGGCTAGGGAAACGACAGCGAGCCCGACCATTAGCTAGCTAACCTGTCAGCGCTCGTCGGCCTAAGTACTTATGGCCAAACATTTGCCTGCTGGTTGGCCAGCACGGCTTCCTATCTCCTAAGCTATTTCGGAGCACCGGCCGGCGGAAGCGGCGCTCAAGTTTGATGAGTCGCGTTATCAGGTCATGTCACAGAAAGTGTTTTTATACACCCTGTAGTAAAATTATCTACAGTACCGCATAGGCAGCCCATAAGAGACCAAGTTGCTTTCGCCTGTGCTAAATAATATCTGCGAACACTAGTTGAGTGCCAGGCCTCACACTAGTCTCTCGAATTGACAGGTTTTTGGTGATTTTCAGTTGTCACGCGTATAGATTAAAATGATTATTAAAATAACTGCTGAATTGGAATTTGCTGCTTTTTGATCACGCGTTTGTCATGGCTACGATAGTTTTCAAATGTTCGTGTTGTGTCAGTCTTTATATGTAAGTATGGATTCCTAGAACTTGGGTCTGTGTCACTGATGTTCCTACAACAATCGCCGTGACATAAAAACTACCAGTGTCATGAAACTCTGATATCTTCCTGATTTGGGTTTGTGGCCTGCACTGTGTTGCTAACCACTGTAATAAGTGGTTGAATCTGGGTTGGTGGTTTGTCATGAACCCCCCTCGCCAATGTGGCTAAACAGAATATAAATCTCCGAGCCACACTTCGGCCATGTCCAAAATTCACAGGCGACGTCCACAGAAGGCCGCGTTTCTTGGCGGCGTGACGTCACTTTCGGCGCGACTCGACCGCACGCGATTTTAACATTCTCGAAAAACAGTTCGTAGGCTGAGTCCTTCGAGGCCTTCCAAGGCTACCCCCAATGTAGCCTTAGCGACCGCGTAAACCGTGGCAAATTCCGACAGGCATAATGTGAATTTGTACACCACGTACACCATGCGCTCCAAATGCGGCCTTTGGACGACTTTGGAGCTTGTCTTTCAGGTTATAGGCACAGCTTGATAGCCCAACTGCACGTTGTAGTAGTTCAAATGAGCAACTTTATCATCAGTCAGGAAGCTGTTCCTTGGTTGTCAACTTGCCTGCGTTCAGCCCCGCCCCCAATATCGAGGGATGAAAAAGAGTTTTACAATAAATCTCAGCAATTCAGTATAGAGTTAATTGTTGTTCGTCGTATTATTTTTTTCAGCATTTGTTTCTAAAATGTATTTAGTGATATAAAACACACTGAAAGGTGTTTAGCGTTTAAGAATTGTTAGTTTTTAAAGAGTTTTTGAGTATGGTTTTTATTCAACATTTTTTCAAACATTTAAACGTAATCGTGACTACTTTTTATTGTATAGCACAGTCTTAATGTTTCGACTATGCATAATTCTACAATTGCTTACTATAATAAATAAAGGTATATTTTAGGAAAAAAACTGCCTATTTTTTATGAAACGTTAGGCCCAATCTGTTGCTGTATTTTGATGATGGCTGCTAGCGGTAATTGTAAAATCACAGTTTTTAGGTGGTCCTTGCTGTAAAAACCTAGAGAAGCACTGCCCTAGTTGAATGAGATATTTTTTTAAGTTATGTTACTATTATTAGATATACAGACATATTTTATGATTCTGCAACATAATGTCTGTATGGACGTAATGATAAACTATTATTTGTCCTGTTAAATTTGATTATAATATAGTTTACTCTAAGTAAGTTATAGTTTACTACTGCCACAAACATCAATCAGTGTGCATTGTGGGATAACATTATGCACATCAGGGCTGAGTGCACATGGGGAAAATGTGTGAAGACAACACATGAAATAAAATTAGAATGTGTAGAGAAAACGTACAAACGATTAATTGGTTATTTCTCGGAGTCACAGTCTCTTCATCCTATTTCGCTTTTTTTCCCTCGACATGGACTCGAGGGATTCCATTTTTTTTTGTGCGCAAGTTTGAAGAAATGACATTTTTTTGTGTTGAAACCAACAAAAATACTTGGGCGTTCTTTTATTCAGGGTTCAAGCTAAGGTGCTCGCTTGCAAACCCTCACGTAATCGTGACTACTTTTTATTGTATAGCACAGTCTTAATGTTTCGACTATGCATAATTCTACAATTGCTTACTATAATAAATAAAGGTATATTTTAGGAAAAAAACTGCCTATTTTTTATGAAACGTTAGGCCCAATCTGTTGCTGTATTTTGATGATGGCTGCTAGCGGTAATTGTAAAATCACAGTTTTTAGGTGGTCCTTGCTGTAAAAACCTAGAGAAGCACTGCCCTAGTTGAATGAGATATTTTTTTAAGTTATGTTACTATTATTAGATATACAGACATTTTATGATTCTGCAACATAATGTCTGTATGGACGTAATGATAAACTATTATTTGTCCTGTTAAATTTGATTATAATATAGTTTACTCTAAGTAAGTTATAGTTTACTACTGCCACAAACATCAATCAGTGTGCATTGTGGGATAACATTATGCACATCAGGGCTGAGTGCACATGGGGAAAATGTGTGAAGACAACACATGAAATAAAATTAGAATGTGTAGAGAAAACGTACAAACGATTAATTGGTTATTTCTCGGAGTCACAGTCTCTTCATCCTATTTCGCTTTTTTTCCCTCGACATGGACTCGAGGGATTCCATTTTTTTTTGTGCGCAAGTTTGAAGAAATGACATTTTTTTGTGTTGAAACCAACAAAAATACTTGGGCGTTCTTTTATTCAGGGTTCAAGCTAAGGTGCTCGCTTGCAAACCCTCACATTTTATTTTTTATTAGAGGCTGAAACTGTGACTCATTTCTGGTTGAATATTTAAATTTATGGTCCATAATGTTCATCCTATTATGTGTATAGTTTAATGTTGGCAAGCTTAACATGTTCACATATTTTGTTGTTTGCATATACTGTACCCGTACATGGTCTGCTTGCAGTCAATTTCTGAAAGTGTGAGGGCTTTACCAATATCCATTTTTTACAACATAACATTACTCAATACAATGTACATGAAGTTCAATCGAAAATATAAGATTTGTGGGGGTGAAATGGGGAAATCTCAGTCATCTTATGGTGATGTTGACACAAACTAAGTGTCCTTTTCCCTTTCAGTACACAGATAAAGAGGAGGTAGTATTATGGATGAACACAGTGGGGCCTTACCACAACCGACAGGAGACCTACAAGTATTTCTCTTTACCCTTCTGTGTTGGAACAAAGAAAACCATCAGTCATTATCATGAAACACTTGGAGAAGCGCTGCAGGGAGTGGAGCTGGAATTTAGCGGTCTTGATATCAAGTTCAAAGGTATGTAATTGTGCACCCAAAATGTAATATTTGAGCATTTCATCAGAG